CCCCGGGAGGAGAAGATTGAAAGGGGGCGGTGGGCAGGGGGGTCCTGGGAGGAGTGCCCCTCTTCCCGCGGCGTAGCTGGAGCTGGATCTAAGGGGTCAGCATCGTCCCGGCTCCGCGCCAGCGGCAGCTGGGGGAGGGGAGGAGGGCTCTCTTTGGGGGTGGGCTTGGAGGGGGTGGGGGGCGGCTCCTTCCTCCGCCCCGCGGCGGGCCCACGGTCCGGGAGGGGCGGGGAGATGGTGGGGGGCCGTCCCGGGAGGGGGGGGAGGCGGAGATGCTGCCGCCGCAGCCGCCGCGGTTGCTGCCGCTGCCGTAGCTGTCGCCGGCGCCACTGCCTCCTCCTCCGGCCGAGAAGCGGAGCGAGCTAGCGAAAGCGGCGGCGAGGAGCCCGGCGCACACCACAGCTGGATCCCTCACTCCAACTTCAAGCCTCGGCCCCGCCTCTCCCCGGCCAGCCTCTCAGCCAATCACTGCGCGCCGCCGGCCCTAAGGCGATAGTTCATTGGCCAGACGCCGTGGCAGTGCGGGCGGGGGAGAGAACCACAGCTGGAATCCGGTTCCCACCCCAAAGCCCAGGACCGCCCCTCTCCCCTCCCATTGCCCCTGGGTCCGCTCCCGAAAGCCGAAGCCAATTAGACGTCTCCCCAGACCGAACCCACTTTCCTATTGGCCGCTGGGGTCTCTGGGACTCCCCTAGAGGGAGCCCCCGGGAATCAATATTTGGCGCGGGGTCCAGGGATAACGCCGTTGGCCTTCAAGCATTCTTGGTCAGCGACCCCTGAATTTGACGACAGCTTGAGGGCAAGGCACAGCTTTGCGCGGGGTTGGAGAAGAAAGGCAGCCTGCCTACGGGTGAGGGGTGCGATGAGGGTTCCAGAACGAAATCCTCGTCTGTCCTGATTCATCACCCACCCTAGAATTGAACTTAGGAACGGACTGAAGAAGGGGAGGAAACAGAACGAGATGTCCACGGGACAGGGTTGGAGGGGGGCGCCCTTAAGGATACAGTCGGAGCCTAGGCGGGCTTCTGGGTCCTGTTTCCAGGCTCACTTCTGCGACTTTGACCCAACCTCCTAACCCTAGCCCGCTGACCCTGACCTCTCGTTGGCAGCCCTGAGCTTCACTCCCACTGTCTATATCGTTTGGAGAGTGTAGACCCCCACAAGGGAGAGATTCATGCTTAAACACGTGGCCAGGGCAGGTCACGCCAGATCCAGAACATGGATCTCCAAAGGCAGCTGCCAAGCTGAAAGAGGCGTCCATGAAGGCAGCTGCGAGGGGCTGGAGTGTGTGACTGGGGTGTAAGCACAGAACTGGGCTTTGCCCACTCCGACTGCAAAGTCTCACCAAACCCGCACTCTTTGCCTCAGTTCCTCTCTCTCAGAGTTCCATGATGGCTTATGGCGAGACACCGCAGGACAGGAGCTTCGGGGGGTTGCTATACTCACACACCCCCAACCTACCGGGTCAGACCTGGATGGTCTGCGGCTTCACACTCGCGCACACGCACGCGCAGACCCCTGTTCGGCCTCGCCCCGCCTCACCTTCCCAAGTCCCTAGGATCAGCGCCAGCTCCCTCTCACAGCCGGGGCCACCCCAAAAGGCTGTGGGTCCCCGGGAACTCAGCACGGCTGGAGTAGGGGTGAGGCGGGGCGAGGAGGGCAGCGAGGATTAGCACTTCCCCGACCTCTGCGGAAGGTAGACAACAGCGGAATCAAGCAGGTCAGTCAATTCCCACTCCTAAGACTTCGGGGCTCTTACGCCACTGCGGAGAGGCGAAGAGATGAACCAGAAGACCTCCCGCACCCGCTCCCCCCCAACGCGACTGCCGGGCGTTCTTCGATCTCCCAAGACTGCGCCACCCACGCCACCTCCGCGCCTCCCGCCGCGTGGGGTGGGTGTCTCAGCTCCCTCCTGGGCGGGTTGCGGAGAGTGCAGCAGGAGGGAAGAGTGGCTGCAGCGAGTCGCCTCCCTAGCTGCCCTTTCGCCGAAATCCGGGCACCGAGTTGTGCAAATGAGGCCGGGTTTATTTGCATTTCATGCTAATGAGCAGCTCCCTTAAGTGCCTTTCTTTCCTGGCGGGAGTCTCTGCTCTCATTCCGCACTAGAGTCTTGAACTCCTAGCTGTCTTCTGGGAGAGGGGCCTATTTATGGTGCTCTCAGGTGTCTGACACCTTCCCTCCAGTCTGTCGGCAGCCTGCCCTTTGGCCTACCCTTCCCGGACAGGGTCAAGATGCCTGGGGGCTAGCATCAGGAGCTAGCTAGCTTCACTATCCTTTCCTTTGCAGAGGAGAAAAATGAGGCCAGCGAGACTTCCCAGCCCAAAGGTCAGGTTCCCAGGCAGTCAGCAGGCTCCACGCCTTCATCCATCATCCAGAGCACCTGTCTCTGCACTGAACTCTGTTGCAGACCATACCCAGAAAGGGGAGGCCTGGGGTGGGGCCAGACACATGTACCATCTGGACAAATACAGACCCACTTCCTTGGGCTCTGGACCTGGGAAGACCTGCCACTGAAGGCATTCTGGCAGGGGAAGAGCACCAGGACTCACACCAGTCAGTGTGCTCACTGGTAGTCTGAGGGAGAGTGGAGGGAGTGTCCGGACCCACAGAGAGGGCAAAGGAAGCTCTGGAGCCTTCTTCAGCTCCTGCCTTCTAAGCCTTAACTCTGACATCACCCCCTCTGTGACCTTGAGCAAGTGTTGCAGTACCTACTAAGTACCAAGGTGCTGACTGAGTACCATTGGTCTGGACCCTCTAGCCTTGGCCCAGGCTGCAGTGTGTGTGTGTAGGGATGAACTGGTTGTCTCCCCTTCTCACGAACTGAGTGTCTCAATGTGGCCTGCCAAACTGCTCACCAGGGCCTGGCCTAATGTGTGGCAGTCATAAAGGGGTACTTAATGCATCCTTTTTGCCTCAGGCAGGCAAGAGAAACTAGAAGGACAAATTCCTTTCACCTGCCCTCCTTATCCCAATAAAGGTAGGTCTTAATGTTGTCTAAATCTCCTTTGAGGGAGAACTCCCATACAGGCCTGCTCTGCCAGCCTCTCCCTCCTGGCCTTTCCCTTAGCCCTTCCTCGCTCCTTATGCCCTCCCCTCCCCTCAGTCTGGCTGGCCCTCAGGAACTGAGATAATATTCCCCTCTGTGACACTCTGCTCACTTGCCCCATTTCGCCCCCTCGATAGCCTTGGGAGCTGAGTGGAGGTTGTCTCAGGGCAGTCCTGCTCAGACCCAAGAGACCGGAACTAGGAGAAGGGAGGCTGCAGATTTAAAATTCCATCTGAGCAAAACTTATGTTTAAGCTTGCCATCTCTAGAAAACGGGGGCACTCCCATGAGAACATTTAAGCCCTAACTCCTTCCTTTGAACCGATTTACAAAATCGCCACATAGGTATGTTCTTGGTACCAGAGTAAGTAGAGACGGAGCAGAAGGATGGCAGGATGAAGGAGAAGACGCCAAATGGCCCTCCTTCACAGTTGTGCCTGTCTGTCCCTGAGGGAAGAGGATGCCTTCGTGATCTTAATTGTACCCTGAAAACCCTGAAAGAACCGTGTGTGCTGAGCAGTGTCAGGCCAGTCTCCTGCCTTCTCTGGGCCTTGAATATCTAGCCATCTGAGGCCCAACATCTGCATTGGCACCCCATTCCTGAGGGTCAGTGGGGCAACAGACACAACAGGGCCAAGCACATTGCCCAGAGTGTTCCAAAGCCAGACCTGGGCTGCCAAGGAGGCCACCTGTGCTTCACCACACTCTCTCCTCCCTCCTTACTGCTGCCAGTCCATGCACCCATTTGCCTAGTTCGTGGACTTCCTGGCAAAGCAGGGTGGGTTCTAGCCAGGAGGGTCATCTGACCTTGTTGGCCAAAGCCCTAATCCCCTCCACATGGGATTAGTACATAGCTCGTACTAAGGGCCCAGCTGTCCAGACAAAGCTGACCCTGGTCCCACTGACCATGCATAGCTATTTGTGACCATGTGCAGGTGGCGCCATAGTCCTAAACAGACCTTGGAGTGAGTCTGGCTAGCTCCCAGCTCCTTCCTGCCGGACTCCGCCCCACTGCTGGCACCCCCCTCAAGCAGGGCTGCAGTCTCCAGCTTCTTCTAGACTTGCACTGGTTGGCTCTGGGGCTCTGAAGGAACCCATGCTCAGCAGACCCAGCAAGAGCCCAGGGAGAGAGCTCCTTCCCCTCCTTCCAGCCTGTCAGCTCTATCACCCTGTGCCCTTCCCCAGAGGTTGCTTTCCAGGCCCCTCCCCCTACTGGACGCTAGATGGGGTTTGCTTTGAAAGAGGGGGCCACTGATACAGATAGAACTAGTGAGTATCCCCAACACTAAGAGGACAGGTGGTGGCCACAGGAAGGCACAATTTCTCTGCAGCAGAAAGGACTCAGATTTGGAGAAGGACTTTCAACTCCACCAATGCCCCAAGTGAAAGAGAGTTCTTTCTCTGACCTGGCTACAGGGCAACGGGGGGGCTGGACAAAATGACCTCCTGCAGGCAGGCTTGGGCTCCATCCTGGGAAGATTGGGGGTTGGACGGATAGCTCAGAAGAAAATGTCTTTGGTTCCTGATAACAGCAGCTGCTACCATATACCATAGCATATGCAAATGTCACCATTCTGAGAAAAATTCAAGCATCCCCCTGTCTCTATCCCAGCTTAACATAGGAAGTGATAACAGAAGGGTAGGGCAGCCTCCTTTCTGACTCTTCCCATTGGCCTTACCCTGTCTGGGCAGGCCACACCCCATATCCCTAGCTCCTGCTGGTCATTACTGGCCATGCCCTCTGTTTCATTCAGGCTGCAGTGAGCATGAACCTGTAAAGGCAGGGGCAGCCTAGGGACATATGAAGCTGAAGGAAAACCACAGGCAAAGCTGACTTCTGCCCTGGCAGTCCTCCTCCACCTTCAGATGTCACCAGGGCCAGAAGGGGGCTTGGGCAGCTGGTTCCCAGGATGGCACCCAAGACCCTACCCTCATGAGCATGGCAGAGGCCTGAGTTACCGCAGGACGCTTAGGTTTATTCTAGGGTGAGTGGGTGCCTGTGGGAGGGCAGCAAGGATGACCAAGGAGACCTGGGACAGAGTGCCCTTGGACGGCCCCAGGTTCTGTTGGGCCCTGCAAGGCCGGAGTCTCTGCTCAGTAGGGAAGCTCCGCCTCCTGCCCCACCCCAAAGGGGAATGAGGCAGTCACTGGTGGAGCAGTTTTCGTAATTCACAGGGCTCGGTGATGGGCATCGAGCAGGTCTGGTTCTCCCACACATAAGCAGTGGCCCTGTCTTCTACCCGACGCAAGGAACTCAGAAAGGGCAGCTGACGGGACAGGAAACTGGAGGGGTCCCCATCGGCCAGAATCAGCACCTGAAGGGATACAGAGTGGATACCCTCACCTGGGGCACACTGGCAGGTCCAGAAGAGGGGTTTCTTCTCCCCAGGAGGAGGAGGTTTTGGGGAACCAAGAAGGGGAGGAGCCAGGGGCAGGGAAGGCCGAGCGTGGGACCCTGCTAGGACACGAACCTTGTTAGGGATGTAGATGGTGTGGACACAGTGCAACAGAGCCTTGGTGTCCTTGGCTTGGGGGTCCCCACAGATCACGATCTGGCCAGAAGAGAAAAGAGAGCCCCAGTGACAAGTGTGTGAGGGCCAGACCTACCAGGGCTTCCCACCCCATCCCCCTCCCACCCCACCTGGTACCCCTGAGATGGAAGGGGGCTCAGCTCAGCACCTAGAGCAGCGGCCTCGGAATCCCTGCTTGGCAAGTGGGAACACGCATGCGCACCCACACGGGG